AAGACTACTCTAAAACCTGGAAAGTAAACCAAGACCTGAGGACTGAACAGAAAAATGGCCGATGAGGACAGCTGAATTTTGCTTTTCATCATCTTTATTAAACTTCACTCCTTTCATCTCTCAGCGATTTTGTACACTACGGTCATCTTTATTACAATGTGGAAATCAACACACCTTTATTGGAAATTAACTCTCATGTGGCATATACATTTTCTTTATCAGTATCTTTATCTAAGACAACCTATTCCCACTGAAGATTATTTCACATGGATAGCGAATAACTTTACCAGCAAATAACCGTGGCGATCATCTCCTTACGTTGGACTCTTTACCAATGCTCTGTGTGCCAAGCCATAATGTACAGTATCCCCTAAGCGCAAGTACAGTACAGGCAGAGTGTGAACCTGGGTAGTGATGCAAGTGTTGTTTACGTACAAAATAACAATATTATCGTTTGGTGGATGGCTGCTCACACACTGTCCACCAGGTTGATTCTTACACACTCCTGATGCAGTTGTGGAGTCACGTTCTCTTTCTCTCTTTGTCTATTTGAATTTTATAATTTCTATTTCTTTCTCTTTAATCCATATGAATGGTGAAGTGCTTCTCTGTTTGGAGTACTGTCATCCCGTCTGAGAATGTCCAAAAGGGGGCCACGATACTGGTGCTTGCAACCCGGCACTTCAGGTTGAATAAGTCTCTTCAGAAAATTGTCAGGGCAAGGTTTTTGTGCTTTCTTGGCCTGTGGGGACCCGTCCTTCTAGAAATTAACGACACACAGACTTACCTCCAAACCAAGGGGTTGAACATACAACAATGTGATATAAAACTCAGGGCATTAGAAACATTTCTAGTTGAAAACAGGGACAAGCTGGTGAGTAATGGAGTTAACTATGCCAAAGAAATTTGCAATGATCTGGGGATAGTCATGGAGCGTCAGCGTCGACCCAAAAAGAAGAAACAAATGTTTGGTGAAGGATCACGAGATGCTGAATTGCCATACGACATTGAATTGAGGAGAGAAATTTTTTCAACAGCTTCATAACTTGCTGAGAAATATGCCTTCCTTACCCCCATTGAATCTTTTGGATGATAAATATGAGTGTCAAATAGATCACGATCACGATCACGACGACATTGATAAAGAGGAGTTCCTCGTTGAGAGAAAAAGACTTCAGCATTTTGTTGCTGTTGCTGCTATAACTATTAAAGACAGAATACAGACGTGGAAAGAAGGCCCCCTTGAACTTTTGCAGTTTTGCAGTTTTGCTTAGCTTTTTCTCAGAAGTATATGAAGCGGTAGATAATGATAAGTCATATGATATAATTTATTTAGATTTCAGTAAAGCATTCGATAGAGTCCCTCATGAGAGATTGATAAGGAAGGTAGAAGCACATGGAATAGGTGGATCAGTATTAAAATGGATTAGGTCATGGTTAACTGGTAGGAAACAAAGAGTCAGCATAAATGGATTAAAGTCAGACTGGGGTGTGGTCAAAAGCGGAGTTCCCCAGGGATCTGTATTAGGCCCTCTGCTGTTTGTTATATTCATTAATGATCTTGATTTAGGCATAACTAGTAGGATTAGTAAATTTGCAGATGATACCAAAATGGGGAGAGTGATAAATTCAGACAGTGACTTTGAACACCTTCAAAGAGATCTAGATACCTTACATGAGTGGTCAGTAGACTGGCAAATGAATTTTAATACTGATAAATGCAAGGTACTACAGATAGAGAAGACGAATACAAACGTTAAGTATAAACTAGGTAACACGGAAATAGAAAACTCAGTTTGTGAAAAAGATCTGGGTGTATTTGTTGTGTTTGTTGGAAACCTAGAAAACAATGTATTAGCGTTCGCAACCAGGCAAACAAGTTCTTGGGTTCATATCTAGGTCTGTGAAATATAGAACTGCTGACGTTATCTTGAAACTTTACCTAGCATTAGTGAGGCCACACATGGATTATGCGGTTCAATTCTGGTGTCCTTATTATAGAATGGACATAGATTCTTTGGAGAGAGTACAAAGAAGAATGACAAAATGATCCATAATATTAGAAACCTTCCATATGAAGAAAGACTGAAAAGCTTAGGCTTACATTCATTAGAGAGGCGTAGAGTTAGGGGAGATATGATAGAGGTGTACAAGTGGGTAAGTGGGATTAACAAGGGTAAAATGGAAGATGTTCTGAAGCTCAGTAATAACGAAATAACTAGAACAAATGGCTTTAAATTAGATAAATTCCGATTCAGAAAGGATATAGGCAAGCACTGGTTTGGTAATAGAGTTGTGGATATGTGGAATAGGCTACCGAGTGCTATAGTAGGATCGGGGACGCTAGGGAGCTTCAAGACGAAGTTGGATAGGCACATGGACGTGCTGGGATGGGTGTGAAAGGGATCTGCCCTGTATGGGCCAGTCGGCCTCCTGCAGTATCCCACTTTCTTATGTTCTTATGTTCTTATGTAATTATGTAGGTCAGACAGGAAAAACACTGCAGCTCAGAATCAAACAGCATAAGTATAATATCAGAACTGCATCTGAAAGCAGTGCCTTGTTCGTTCATGTTAGGAATAATAATCACCCCATTGCTTGGGAAAAAAGCTTAGAAGTATTCAAATCATCTTGTGTCACAGAAAGACTTCTGGTTGAAGCTAGTTTGATTAAGGAATTAAAATCAATAAACCTTAGTGATGGTCAGTTCAAAACTGATAATATGTTACATAAATTTATTTGTCAGTGGCCCAAGGTTAAAAATGCTTTGAAAACCTTTGATCTTGATGTATGATAGTTATTTTGTGGGTCCCTTTTTTCTGACCTGACCTGTCTAGTCACGTCATCACCCTTCTCTTAAGCTCCTCTACGTGTGTGTTGGTGTGGGGATTAGTGGATGTCATCATTATGACCTGACCTCATGTTTTTAGGTCACCCTGTATATTTAAGCCTCTCTCTGTCCATGTAATCCAGTTGCCTCTGAAGATGTCTTGAATAAAGACGAAAGCTAAGGTACTCCGTTGTTTCCATTTTCCCGTGTGATTTTTTATCAAGATATATATATATATATATATATATATATATATATATATATATATATATATATATATATATATATATATATATATATATATATATATATGCTGATAACCACAAGGAAAGAAGAAAACACGAAGTTCCCAAGCGCTTTCGTGTAATTCACATCTTCAGGGGTGAGTACAGACTAGAGAGAGTAATACAAATCAAGGTGTATATATACAGAGGAGGGTGAGACCAGGTCCACAATGGTCAGGTATTAGGTAATGACCTTACTAATCTTTAAATAGCACACAACGGTTGGTGGTCAGGTCAGATGGTCAAGTGACCCGGCCTTCTCACCTGATCACAAATCTTCTTAATTACAAAATTGTCCAGCTTGTACATGCCGTTACTCAAATTCATGTTGGATGCTTCGGTATGTTTAATAAGACTAGATTCTATGATGTTCCTACTATCAATTGAATTACATGGTAATATTGAGGAGGCATTATCCCAGTCAATGCAATGCTTGTTATCCCTCAAATGAACAAACAGAGCATTGGATTCCTGGCCTGTCCTAACACTGTATTTGTGTTGTTTAATTCTAGTTGCAAGATCTTTACCTGTCTGGCCTAAGTAAAACATATTACATTCCTTGCAAGGAACTTTATAAATGCAACCAATTGTGTTGTTGGGGGAGTTCTTGATTAACATTTGTTTAACAGTGCATGAGTTTTTAAATGCCACATTGACGTTCCAGGTTTTTAGCTGTGCAGGGATGAATCTGCTACAACTTATTGATAGTTTGTTTATGATTTCCTCGTCGTATAAACTGTTGTAAAGTGTTGTGTCCTGAGGTTGGATGGCGATATATAATTCCTGTGATTCTTCCCTGTTATACGTCATCATTCACATTGAGGGGGGACTAAAAAGTTGTTCTTATTTTTATGTTTACGTCTGTATTTAAGAGTTTTTTTTTTACGGGGATTAGCCCACCCAGGCACAGGTCACTGACCCACATCGGGGCCTAGGGGGCGAAAATGTAATGATAATAATAATAATAATAATAATAATAATAATAATAATAAAGAACCATAAAGAAATACAAATTGAAAAAAAAATTAGTGAGAAACACTATACAGTATATATGTTGTGTTGTCAATAGTAAGTGAAACAATTGAGACCCTGCAATTGTGTGTTAATGAGGCAAAAAGTCAGATCAGCAACCTGGGACTTGGTCACAATTTTCGTGATGCCATATGACAGCAGGGTCTACCATAGACAACACATTATGCTTCCAATATCTTCCCAGGCGGTAGTACCTCCCTGTTTGGTAGCTGCCTAATACCTACTACCTGGTAAGAAGGGGACACCCACATGCAGCAGGGTGAGACAGGGGGAAACACCAACATAGGACACCCTCAACACATAGTGAGAGACACCAGTGTTTTACACCTACAACACCTGAAACAATTGTCCTCTGCGGTAGACTGGCGCTGTTTACACACTTTGTACTCCTCTTTCACACTATGCGGTTCGCCGCACCGGGGAGACCACGGTTTTCTGCCGCACATTCGTCCGGCTGCCGCGTACAGCGACCCAACTTTGGAGGACTCTTGTCTACAGTTTGCAGCGTATGGTCGCGGAACCGAACAAGTCCAGTGAGACGCCGCACATGCAATCCGGCGTCGGACTGGCGAATTCGCCGCAACCGCTTAGTGTGAAGAGGTACAAAAGAACTGTCAGTCGACTGCTATGTCCGGCACCGCACCGCATCTCGATGCGGCGAGAAACCGCATAGTGTTAAAGGGGCCTAAGTGTGTAAACAGCGTCAGTCTACCGCAGAGGACAATTGTTTTAGCTTGTCATCAGCAATTTGTCGATGTCATTGTTACTGCGTGTGAAAAATTCAAAGCCTGATTTGCATATATTAACATGCTTCATTTGAATATGATAATTATATATTATTTTTTCCTTTCCAGGTGTTGTCTGGCACAGCAACAATTGAGTTACTACATCTTCCCCGAGCCGCTGGGTGATTCACTACCACCTAAACCAGAGGCCTCCTACCTAGTCTTTATAGAGGGACTTTCCTTGTTGCTGGCACCATGGCGTACGTGGATGAGTTGGTGGATCGCTTCACCTGGATTGATTACATGGTGTTCAGCTGCATGCTGTTGGTGTCGGCCGTCATCGGCATTTTTTATGGCTGCTTCAGTAAGAAACAGGACACAAATGACTTTCTAATGGCTGGCAAGTCCATGACTGCCTTCCCAGTAGCCATGTCTTTAATTGCCAGGTAAAAATAATTCATCAGTTGATCTTCATCCGTCCCCTTACCTTCTCCTTCTCCCCTCCCTCATTTTTTTTAGTTTTGGAATTCTCTGTGTTATATATATATAAGACTAGAGATTTGGAGAGTTGATATAATGTACGATGGTAGAGAAAACACTACAGAACAGGTGATAAATTAGAAGAAATGATAAATCGAAAGGTATAGAAGGTATGTAAGTGATTCTATTAAAAGTGAGGGAAAATGGATCAATATTTGCATTGAGACGATTGGAGGAGAGAAGCAAAGAAAAGAAAGAGGCAAAGCTGCTCAAATATTCAGAAAAAGTGTATGACATAGTAAATAGGAGGTGTGGGAAGTGTTGACCTTGTGTGGAGAAGTGCGTGTGATGGTTATTTACTGCCTGTGTGGGACAGATAAGTGTGAATTGAAAATAAGAATGGGTGACAGTGGAAGGAAACAGTCATAACGGTACAGAGATGAACTGTCACATATGTAAGTGGGAAAATTAGAGAATATAAGAATATATTCTGATGAACTTTGCGAGAAAGAATGTTGAATGTTAATGTGAATAGAAAATAAAACAAAAACAAATTAATGACTTTTGCAAGATAATGGGCAATAGGAAGAAAGGGTAGAACTGGTTGTGGGTAAATAAAGCAACATTAGGTCTCCATGACGGCGTAACAAGGGAAAGTCTTGCTTGGACCAGAGTGATGTAGTGGCCGATTCAATTGAAGAATTGACAATGGCAAATAAATCTGGGAATGTGTTTCAGATGAGATGTTCGGGAGAAAAAGAAAATCTGATTGTGACTGAAGAATTAATTGGTGGTAAAGGTTTGGTGTTTCAAGTGAGTTGTAGAATGTTGAAAGGTAGACAGGTTAATAGGTTAACTTTAGCTTCTGTTATGACGCATGTGATGAGATGAAGAACACAAGTACCTGTACTGTCACGTAATAAATTAGGGAGTTAAAAATAAGAAAGAAGGATTTTTACCTTAGACAAAATAGAAAAATTCGATATAATAAGATATAAGAGTATTAGAGAGATAATTTATGTAGCAAAATATGTGGATGATAAAGGGAACACTAGATGAAAGATAGCAAGGACATCAAGGGAGGATAGATAAAACATTTAAAGAGGTGTTTGTATGTAAGAGTGTCGGAACATATATACAGATTATACTAACTGTAGAAGTCCCTAACAATGACTCATCAGGTATGACAATATACAGTATATTCTCTTGTGTGTCATGACAGCTTCATGTCGGCCATCACGCTGTTGGGGACGCCGTCGGAAGTGTACCAGTTCGGGTTCCTCTACTGGCTCATCGGGTTCGCTTATGTACTTATGACGCCCTCTGCTGCCTACCTCTACTTCCCGGTCTTCTACAAGCTCCAGGTACAACCCTCTCTCCCCTCTCTTGGTTCTTATTGAATTATAAACGATGGTATTTGCCTTGGTAGTTGGTGAGGAAAATGTTGCTGTAGGGAAGTGCTTCTCAGTGTGACCTTTCTGTATTCCATGCTGCAGAGGATATTGCGGCAGAGGTGAGTTCATACTGAGAGTTAGTAACTGTAACTAAATAATAATGGTCTTGAATGATGTCAATAGTGAAAGTTATGGCTTAATGCCCTGCGAGAAATCGACCCACTGGTTGTGTCCACTACCTGAAACCGAGTTTCTCCTGCAGGTCACTTCCGCCTACGAGTACCTGGAGAGGAGGTTCCACAGGTCGGTGCGTTGGCTGGGCTCCTTCGTCTTTATTATCCAGGTGAGTAGTAGAGGTGGTGATGGACTAGGGAGAAGGGACTACAGCTTGGTGGTAATGTAAGGAAGGTAAAAATGTGCGGTTGGGGAGGGTGGTAGTGCTACATCAGTCAATTAAGGTGTGGGGACGTCATGGGGCTATAAGAAGTATAATCACCTGTGAAGTATTCTAAGATTTTCAGTGATCTGTTTTGAGAATATCTGGCAAGAAACACAATAAGGATTATGGGCGTGAACCAGCAGGGAACTAGGGAAAATGAACACTGTTTTATGATATTAATAATAATAACAATAATAATAATAATAATAATAATAATAATAATAATAATAAAAATAATAATAAAAATAATAATGGTATTTTTGTGTGTTTTCAAGCAAAAAAAAACTTTCTCCTTTACTATAACACTCTGCTTATCATCAAAACCAGTATTAGCATCAAACAAGTAAAAGTTAAAACTAAAAAATAGCCAATTATGCTTCAGCGAAAGAAGAGAGTGAGTTTTATATTACTGGCCATACAATATTGTAATACTGAAGTGATCCATCGTTCTCGGATAGTTTAAGTAAAATGCAATGTTTGTTGTACTCGACTATAAATTTCCACGTTTATTGTAACCAAGCCTAAGCAAAGGACCCTAGTAGAAATAAACGTCGGATGGCTTTGTTAGCTGTACTTGGTCGAATTGACCTACTATTTACCATTGTTTGTATACCTGCACTTTTAGGTACTGTATGTTGTATACCTGCACGGTCTTAGTATGTTGTATATCTGCACGGTCTATGTATGTTGTATACTTGCATTGTCTACAGTATATACATTCTAAGTCGAAGTAAATTTGTATGTTGATTTTACTGATTAAGTATATTTACCAATATAAAAGAACAACTACATATTTACTGTAGGTGTAAAATGCATGAACTGTACAGAAATTATATGTGGTGACACTCTACCTATACTAACAAGCTTGTTATGTGTACAGATGACGCTGTACATGGCCATCGTGGTGTACGCCCCAGCCCTCGCACTAGAACAGGTCACCGGCCTTAACGTCTACATCTCCGTCTCCCTCATCTGCTTCGTCTGCATCTTCTACACTACACTCGGCGGCATGAAGGCGGTGCTCTGGACCGATGCTCTCCAGGTGAGTCGCCTTCATCATATTTATAAGTTTGAGGGTCATTTTCAGGCGGTGATATATATTTCGACCCTAAGATAGACAGATAGCAATGAAGATGAACATGTAGATGAAAAGACATCTAAAGAAAACATGTCTATAGATAGGTATCGATAATTAAGCTGTAAGAAAAAAAATGAGTGTACTCTACATTCACTTGTAAATAGCGAGACAAACAGATACAAAGATAGAGATTAAAAATGTGAGATTAGCGAATAATGACGGTCTTGCCCCCAGACGCTCATCATGTATGGGAGTATGATGTTCGTCATCATCAAGGGCGCCATCGACATTGGCGGCTTCGATGTTGTGTGGCAGAGAAATGCAGACAGCGGCCGAGCTCAGCTGATTGACTTCGACCCTGACCCGACCACCCGCCACACCTTCTGGACCCTTGTCATCGGAGGTTATTTCACCTGGATCACCGTCTACGGTGTTAACCAGGCACAGGTACAGTGTTGGATCAGTGGTGGAGGTGTTCTCTCTTGTTGCGTAGGCAATGTTTGTCAGTTTGTCCCAATAAAGGGATCGGCTTTCCACTAACCGAGTATCGTTACATACTAAAATTAATATTTCTGTAGAGTTATATATCTGAACAGCATTGCTTTATTTTAATTACATATTTTTTTAAGTACATTGTCTAATTGTAGTTGGACTTCACTACTTTTTCTGGGTGCAATATTGACTAACAGACAAACAACATCTAGAAGACAGACAGCATTAAGTTTCCTACCATAACTTTTCTCTTAGAAACACCATAGAAAGTCTCTTCACTATATAATACAATATTTATGAGAATGTTTAAACTAAATTTTGATCTACACTGCTCAGATTCAGCGATACCTCAGCGTTCAGACTAAACAGATGGCCGTCAATGCGCTGTGGATCAACTTTGTGGGACTGTTTATACTGATGCTCACCTGCTGCTTCGGTGGGATGGTTGTGTACGCCAATTACCACGACTGTGACCCCATCCGCTCAGGTGTGGTTGACAAGGGAGACCAGCTGTTCCCGCTCTTCGTTATGGATACCCTTGGCCAATGGAGAGGTCTCCCAGGACTCTTCGTTGCTGGTGTATTTTCCGGGGCTTTAAGGTAATGCTGCTTTGCCTGAATATATTAAAATTATGGCTGAATTTTAATAATCTTTTTTTATCTCATGACAAAAACTTTCTGAGGAATTTATACAAACAATTCTTATTGTTATCTGAGGAACTGAAGAATTATAAAAGCAACAGACGTCCAGGTAAACAGACCAAAGGAGGTTCTGTTCCAGATTTGTCTGGGAAAGTCTCCAGATACTGAATCATTTATATATACAACACCTTTAACTAAATTACGTAGCGCTCAACAGATCATGTGAAAATTTACATTTGTAATGCCAACAGCACCGTGTCTTCCGGAATGAACTCCTTAGCGGCCATCGTGTTGGAGGACTTTATCAAGGCCGGCTGTTATCCCAACATCTCTGAAAACGCTGCCACCTGGACTTCCAGAGCACTCTCACTCTTCTTCGGTCTGCTCACTTTTGCACTCGTCTTCGTAGCAGAACAACTCGGCAACATTTTAAATGTAAACATACTTTTAATTTGTTCTACTAGCACTCCTTTTGCAAAAGAGTATTTATAGATTATCTTATAACCACTGAACCTTCGATAAATTGGCATGCTATTCTTCCGGTCTTGCTGAAATAGTAAATATGCCGATTTTTCGCACACTTTCAAGCTTAAAGTGCTCTCTGAGAGTCCATTGTGAGTTTACGAGTCATATATATATATATATATATATATATATATATATATATATATATATATATATATATATATATATATATATATATATATATATATATATATATATATATACACACACACACACACACACACACAAGGCGTCCCGAAAGTCTCTCTCCGGTTTTAAATATTTAGTATTAAAAATCCAAAGGGGATATAATAATACAGTTTGCTGCATCATATTCCATAGTTAATCGAGTTTTTTCTTTGCAGGTGCAATTAAACGACCTCGACATGTTTTGTGGCTCTAAGCACATCCAGCCGATACGCGATTTCTCTCCAAGTGTTGGCTAGCATATCTGGTGTTACCATGGCTATTGCATCGGTTATTCGTTGACGTTGGATTGCAACATTGGGTACAGGTGTTTTGTAGACACAATCCTTTACATAGCCCCACAAGAAAAAATCTACCATTAAGCTCCAGTGTGGAGGCACCTCATCTTGCTGAATGATCACACTTGGTTGCAAAACATCCAATTGGGGGTCTACATAATTGTCTAAGACATCGAGATTGACATTGTCCGTGACGTTTTTATCGACAAGGAAGAATGGGCCTATCACACGATCATGAGTACATTATGGCGGTTGACACGTCCACACACATGGAAAGTTGCTTCGTCGATGAACATCACTCTGTCTTGGTAGTTGTGGTTCTCTGAAATTTGCTCCAACATTAAGCATGCAAACTCATAACGTCAAGGTTTGTCGTCCAGCTCTAATGCTTGGACTATTTGCACTTTAAAAGCATGCAATTTCAGTATTTTATGGAGTACTCGGTGTACGGATGTCTTAGGTAGATGAAGCTCCATTGATGCAGCGCGAACAGACTTTCTGGGACTTCGTTGGACTGCTTCCTGAACAGATTCAATGGACTCTTCAGACATCCTTGGGCGTCCACTTCGGGGCAAGTCACAAACGCTGCCTGTTTCCAGAAAGAAACCTGCCCTAATGCTGGGTTTGAGGGTGGCTCTTTACCATACCTCTGGCGGTATTGTCTTTGCACTGTTGTCACTGATTTGCTCTCTGCAAACCAGACAACACATTGCGCTTTCTCTTGATTAGACGCCATTGTTACGCCTTATCTTCTCCACCAAGATAATACCTCTCAAATCTACTGCACCTATAAAGAAAAAAACTCGATTAACTAAGGAATATGATGCAGCAAATTTTATTACTATATCCCTTTTGTTTTTTTAGTAATAAATATTCCAAACCGGAAAGAGCATTACTTTTCTGGTTGCATATATAGAGAGCAGCTGTGTGCTGACGAATTAAGAACACTAACAAACAATAGAGCTTCTGTGTCGTGTACACCTACAGTAGAACCTCGTAATGAAGCTCTCAAATATTTGTTTATCTGTATTTGTTACATACAAACACAATTTAAAGTCATTTTTTCATTTTGTGCTCCGCTTTTCTACCAGAACCCTGTTAAGAGTATCATTGTACCACCACTTGCACCACACTGAGTAATCTATGTTCTATCTCAGGCGGCGCTCAGCATCTTTGGTGTGGTCGGAGGGCCTCTGCTGGGAGTCTTCACCCTCGGCATGTTCTTCCCCTGGGCCAACTCCACCGTAAGTTTTTGTTTTCCTCTTTGTCATATATCATAGTCACATTCACATCTCTTTAATAATTAGTGAAAATTCGGTGATAGAGAAACAGTGTAAATGGGTTCTATAGGCTTGACAGCCCTTTAGGGCAGGTGAGCTTGCAGCACATCGTATTTCATGATTTCGGAACACAAGGAGGCAGTTTGGTCGACACAGCATTCGAACGCCATTACCCTCTAAATGTTTGAGCTAGGTGGCCATTCACATTTGTTGTGCATCACGGATAAAGCATCCATTTACTGTCATTCACCCAACAGGGAGCCTTCGTTGGTGAGGTGGTCAGCTTGGTCTTCATGTTCTGGATCGGAATCGGTCATCAGGTGGCCAAAGCTTCGGGTCAGATACACTTGCCTTCCCTGCCCACGAGTATTGATGGGTGCAACTTCACCATCGTTGAACCGACCTTCACACCTATACCGTAAGTAGTTTTGACTTCCCTTTCTGCATTTTCAATTTATTTTACTATATACAGTATGTTACACTTTTATGTTAAGTTCTTTAGTTAATTAATCCTAACAGTGCTCTGATATTTGTTTGCTAATATTATACTTCATGAACGTTATGACCACAATTTAACCTGTCCACAGTGAGAGTGATCCTGGTGAGCCTCTGGCCATATACCGCCTGTCATACATGTGGTATTCTGCCACGGGCTGCTTCACCGTGATCGTGGTGGGTATGCTGGTGACGCTGGTGACTGGCAAGCAAGACGTAAGGGCCCTCGACCCTCGTTGCCTCTCTCCCGCTGTCTTGTGGCTCAAGAACTGGATACCAGGACTGGACGGTCTTGGGGAAGACTATGTGAGTATTCGGTTGTTGACTCAAATCAAGGAAATAGTGTCGATTGGGTGACATCAACTACGGGGCTGTAATATGTTTCGTGTGAACTGTACCTCAGTAAATCAATCATAAATTTCAGTCTAGAAACCAGGAAGCAATAATTAGTGAATGATGTTTTGAAGTGGGAGAATCTTTATCTGTATGAGTTTACTGTTTCATAATAACTACAAGTTCTAGATTTGTAGTTTAAGCATTATTATATTTAAGGAGAATTGCTTTCTTACCATATAGGACAATTTTCAGTAATTATTTTGTTTTATTTTTTTAGGTTCATGAGGAAGAAGGTCTGAAAGAAAACAATAGCTCTGTCTCCTTGGGCAATGTCAACCCAGGATATAAGTCAGAAACAACTGAAAATACGTCAAATGGATATTCACCTGAGGAGAGTTCAAAGCTGTAAAATGTATCTCACAGTAAGCAATGTACTTTCAGTTCAACAAACTTGTAAATGATAAGAAGAGTTTGCTGTTAATCAGATGAAGTATCAGTACGAAGCTAACTTTCGCAACCGAGGATCAAGTATCAAAATAGTACAATACATCTCAGACATTTCATGAAACAGCATTAAGCATTTGGACATGTAATTCTTGCTTCATTACCTGACACATAAACCATACATCACTTGTAACACAGTGCACAGATCTGCAAATTAGGTCAATACTGTGTATGTCGAACACCAGCGTGCAGGGGGTGGTGGTTGTTATTCACTAGACATGGATCCAATGACTAAGAATGTAGTCTAACCAGGAATCCTCTCTTGTATGTTCGACTGAAGCCTAATAGTTGTACACATGAAAAATCCAGTTTCATTGCGATACATTTTCCTAACAAGCCTTTTGAGGTTTTTTTATGAAATAGTTCATATTTTTTATAAACTGTACTATACACTGGATAGTAAGTGTAATTTTTTCCTATTTAACTACCCTATATTTCCAGTATTACTTATTTACTGTAGAGTTACAACAATACTTAATTTGAACCTTTTTTATACTGTATAATTGTGAATTGGGTGTAAATGTTCAGTGTATTTATCAAGTAAGGAGAGTCTTGAGAATACCTTATTACGTACTTTCTAAGTCTTTTTAATTTTACATACATTCACTAATGTATATATTTGAGTATCAGTGTATGTATAATTGTATTATATATATATATATATATATATATATATATATATATATATATATATATATATATATATATATATATGTAAATTTAATCTACATGTAGTAGACATTTGTCAACAAGTAGTAGATAGCTACCAAACAGGGAGATACTACCTCCTGGGAAGATATTGGAAGCATAATGTGTTGTATAATGGTTGACCCTGTTGCCATATGGCACCACAAAAATTGTGACCAAGTTCCATGTTGTTGATCTGACCCTTTGCCTCATTTACACACAATTGCAGGGTCTCAATTGCTTCCGTTACTTTGACAACACAACATACATATATTGTTTCTCACTCTTGATCTCGTTTTTTGCGTCTTTATTATTATTATTATTATTATTATTATTATTATTATTATTATTAATAGTATTATCATTATTATTTCTTCATTCATATTTTTATTTATTTATTATTATTATTATTATTATTATTATTATTATTATTACATTTTCGCCCCCCAGGCCCCGATGTGGGTCAGTGACCTGTGCCCGGGTGGGCTAATCCCCATTAAAAAAATATACAGTATAGTATCTGAATTTATTCTTTCATAACAACAGTACTTTGATGATAGAAGAGGTATTTTATTGTTATTTATATGTTTAAGTATTATGTAATTTATATGAACATTATTTGTACAGCGTATATTTTTTTTAGCGTATAAACATACTTTTTACCCTTTAACTTCATTCCGTTTTCTAAGAATCTTACAAAAGTGTGTTAAAAAAAATTAGCCTACATTTTTTCTTTGAATACATTGTTGTTAAAAGTCTTTTAATTTATATAACTGAGTCCTCCCTACAACGTCACCATAACTATAATAACCGAAGCGTTAGACAAAACTTATTACATATTTATATTTCCATTGTACTTAAATTTCTTACTTTTATTCTACTCTTTTAACGACCCAGCCTATGGTATAGATTTCAGAGCTCTTCGAGTCAACCATCTGAATTTAGTTGCTATTACTGACAAATATTCTACTTGATGGGAGTAAGGCCGACTTAGTCATTGGTTGGTCTTGAGAGATTTTACACACACTCAGACACACACATACAGTATATATATACCTCTCCTGGGCTCATGTCTTTGTACCCACTATAGCCAAGCTTTAATGTTATAAAAATCATTATCACCTGTGCTATTCTGTACTAGTTATTTATAAATTCCTTATAACATTGTGTACATAAGAACCTGTTTTTAACTAATAAAGCAAATCGAATTATTTTTTGTTTTTTATTGAGTGTACTGAATATATCTGCCAGCACTCACATTTCTGGTCCTCGTAATGTGGGATAATGAAAATGTCCTTTAATTAAGCAATTAATTATAAAGGCATTTATGAACCACTGAAAAATTATTGAAGGATGTCATAAAATAGAGGACTCCGATAAACTTGTAATTTTTATACCAGCCCAGTCCTTCACCTAGACATTTAGGAAATATCGGTAAGCGTTTTTATGTAGCATATAACCGAAATTACACAATCATTAACTAATTATTTTGTTTTTTATGGCTACTTCAATTCGATAATAATAGGATTTAGCTCCCAATTTTGCTGAAAAAATGGCAGTTTTATTCTCGTCTGCAGAATAAATATAATATTGTATAGACTTAAAATTTGTGCAGAGTAGCTGTGGAGAGATCCTTCAAGGGCAATGCAAAGATTTCCAGTTATGTAAGAAAATTCACCAACGGAAGATGTTAAGAGATATACAGTATACTGTACAATAATACTTACAAGCATGAGAGATGGTTTCTGTAATTACTAAAGCCCATTTAAGTGTAAGGATATTGAATATTAATAATAATATTTATAAACTGCAAATTAATGCCAGTTGGCTTGTTCTAATTGTTTAAAATTTTCTTGTTTAATGAGATGAGATATTTTCACAAGGACGCTCTTGTTTAGTTTTATTTTATATCGTACGATTCTTACGAACTTCCTGGACCCGTTGTTGGATTTAAAGTGTGCACTTAATTCTGTTATTTGACCTCATATCTTCGTCCCTTGTCAAGTACAGTAACTTGAAAGTATAGCCTCATTAAATGAAAATGATCTTACTGCCGGATTTAACAAGCTACACCAACTTACCAACTTTTAATATCAGCTGGCGATTCAGAATTAAGTATGAATATCTAATGGTGGTTTAGATGTGAAAACAGTGAGTGAAATGTGGTGAAACAGAGGAAAACAGATCTATCAGTAATATGGTTTACGTTAGATGGCGGGCAAAGTTGGAACGATAATTGTTCTGCATTTTCTAGTGATATCAGTAAATCTGTCTGAGCACAATAGAAGACCGGAAACACTCCTTGACGGGAAGAATAGAAGATCCGTTGGAGAACTTTTTGATCGGTGACTGTTGCAAGCACTGGATAAGGGTGAGGAAATACTCGACGATATCCGATATTCGCCCTCTCGGCTCCAAGCAATGACGTCGCAACAAGGACGAGGAAAGGAGTTGTTTACGGGGTAAACAAAAGCCAATTCCCAAGTAACAGAGTGATAATGGGTTTGTGTTTGTTTGTTTTTTTATTCAAGAGGTAAGAAAGAAGTTTCCGATATAAATTTGTCCTAAAGTTGCTCGGTAATATTCCATTTAACGAGCGTAATGTATATCAAGCTAATCTAACCTAAACTCGAGTTTCACCTAAATATTAGTATATTATTTAGGTTATTTTTGTTCATTTAATAAACGATAAATTGCATAAAGTAGTAGTAGTTTCTGATACTTGTGGTTTTACGCCCATTAAATGCATGGTTACCCAATATTGTTCTTAATAGGAATATTGCTCCAGCGAAATCTATCAGTGAAACAACATACGGTGGAGATCTTGAGTGTGACCAGAAGGCAGGACAAGGCCCTGAGAAATTATAAGAATTTTAAAGATACTCCCAGATATGATGAATTCAAAAGGTTACAAAATGAATTCAGAAATTTGGGAGACAGCCAAAGTAGATTATTATAAAGACAGCGTTAAAAAACTTAGTTTATAAAAGAAGGCTCATCTCAAAGCACGAAACCGAATTAGTAATACGTTTTGAGCATTAATCAGGTAGGTAAGTTTATTGACCACAAAAATTTCAAATTACATATACAAATAAGACATTAAATAAAAACTATTGAAGCTTTATGGTCCACAAAGAATATAAACCAAAACTATAACATTTAAACGAAAAATTAAATCACAAACGATGTGTGTTCTTGGATATGATTATAAAGGAAGAAAGTTTATGAAATCAGAAACATTAAATCCATGCAAGTACGGGCATGAAATGTGCACGAATAACCATCTATAACAGACGACTATGTAAAAATGCACAAAATTTTATAAATAGTTATGAAGAGTAGACAGTAGCTGCTCCATCGATGTAAAATTGTAATTATGGTGCACACATCAGGCCTTGGAGACAGCCAGGAGGAATCCATCTCGGTGCCGTTCCGTTTGCAGGATCTCGCACGGGCAAACACACTCCCCTACCGGAAGGCGAGCGACCTTGGCCCCGCCTATTCCACCTGCCCGTTTCCATTGCCAAAGGAGTTCCCTCTCATACGAAATTGATTAAAAGAAATTTTATATAACTCATTTTTCTTTCGTATTGCAAGGTCGGTCAACAGCCGCAGAGCGAAAATAAGTTCTATACAGCCTCTTTTAGATTGTCTTCTTGCTTGTTCCCGGTGCTATGCGAACCAGCGTTGCAGGCGAGAACAGAGTATCATGTCATACAATTTAGCTATACTGTTAATCACACTAATTATCCTGTAGTTACTAGTGATTGATCAATCGCCGCGTTTAAAATAGTCATCAATCTAGCTAAACGCCAATAAGAAGAGTAATTTCCAGATTAAAATTTGCATTAAACAATGTATTGATGGCGACAACCCACGGGGCAGATAACACTTTAAACACTGCTATGCCTCTTGGCTTCGAAGCCGTAGCTTTTAGAGACTTACGAAGCCAAGCAAAAAACTATGCTTTCAGAATCGAATCGATGGGTGAAGTAAAGTGCTTAGATTGGATTGATGGTGGACTTTGGAGGGACTTGAGATTGGTGGATAATGCAAGAGGAAAAGTGAGGAAATTTGAAAATAGTAGTAGGTTAATAGATCTTAGGGCTCAACCCAAGTGCTTCTGTTGTCTCATGTTTGTGTTTCAGCTTAGCCGAAGCTGGTGTAGGGGGCATCAACCACTCTCGGTGGGCTACGCTTTAGAGTACACGGTGCCTGATGGTGAGACACTCTAGAGTAATTTGCACCTAGGCACCGAACACTCTAGAGTGCATTTTTTACCTTCAGGTGAGATACATTCTACTATGGTGAAAAACACTAGAGTGAACGATTCCAAGGTTGCAAATTACTCTAGAGTTTGTTTCACCATCAGGCACCGTGCACTCTATAGCTTAGCCCACCTAGAGTGGTTGATGCCCCCTACACCGGCTTTATAGCCCCATGCCTGGTATTGGCGGGATTGTTTCTTCGACAAATCGTCAATAGCCAAGGAATAGGTCCTAAGCGTAGCTATATCAGTGTTTGTAAACCGCAATGCATAATGGATTAAATGGGTGATACTGTCCCCAGGATTATCAAGGATAATCTCACACACAGTAGATTAATTTATATACCTACGATTAGGAAGGGCAGTCAGAGAGACAGTCGCAGGACAGGCCAAGGCCGGTTTATATTCAATAGGTGTATATCTTGGCATTAATCTTAGTGAAACCTAATTAAACTCAGGTGAGGTCAAGTAGTTTGTGGTCAGGTAAAATAGCTGTCAGATCGGTTATGTGTGGTCAAGTAAGATATGGTCAATTCAGATCAGCTGGTTTGGTTTGCCCAAGAGGTCTGTGCAGTTTTGTACAATACAACAATCACCGCCTCTATTCTTTCATGGGTTTGTGGTTGAAATGAAAATCTAACTAAATCAAACTTAATCAAACCAAACCAAACCAAACCCAGCCTAGCCTAACCAAACCAAACCCAGCCTAGCCTAACCAAACCAAACCCAGCCTAGCCTAACAGTAAATATCTTATCGTATGTTAATTGTCTCGTGCAGACAGCGATTGCTGCATTGGTGACGGGTTGCAGTTTTCTATGATGCCATACTTCACAAAACTGTATATTGCATCATTGTTCGAGATGTGCATTACTTTCACAATGTTCAAGAAAGATTAATTAAAATTGTCGCAGATCCATGTTTCAGGATATGGAAGTTGTAGCTAAAACAGGCGGGAAAAGATAGAATCTTAGTGCTCACCACTGATTGGCTGAATCAGAATCTCGTCGACGTTGATTGGTCAGGCGGCATACGCGGCACAAGGGACCTGGGAAAAATACCCAGGGTTTTCTTAATATGAACCAGCGTAAATATTGGTTTATATCCATTTGCATAAATTTTGAAGCATTATTTCACGCGTGGTATTTTTCTTTGAATCGGTTTTGAAGGTCAGTGTCTTAAGTAGTCGGGTTTTAATCATATACATTACTGTTTTACAAGAATGTTCATCCAGTACTGTTTCATGCTTTGTTACCATATATTGTGTATATACATGCATTTACGTCGATTGTTTTAAAATGCATTCTTATAGTGTAATTTACAAAAAAAACAGGGTGAGGCTTGTACTGCACATCGTCTTAGAACTGGAGTTCATGTACTACAATTAAACTCTAAACCAAATGCTCCTACAGACACTCACATAGCTCCTACAGACACTCACACAGCTCCTACAGACACTCACACAGCTCCTACAGACACTCACACAGCTCCTACAGACACTCACATAGCTCCTACAGACACTCACACAGCTCCTACAGACACTCACACAGCTCCTACAGACACTCACACAGCTCCTACAGACACTCACATAGCTCCTACAGACACTCACACAGCTCCTACAGACACTCACACAGCTCCTACAGACACTCACATAGCTCCTACAGACACTCACATAGCTCCTACAGACACTCACACAGCTCCTACAGACACTCACACAGCTCCTACGTAAACACTCACACAGCTCCTACAGACACTCACACAGCTCCTACAGACACTCACACAGCTCCTACAGACACTCACACAGCTCCTACGTAAACACTCACACAGCTCCTACACATTCCACTCAAATAGAGTTGTATATTATATTTGTTTTTATATTTGATGGACTAGTGTAAATACTAACCTAGTTAAGCGCTTAGTGGCTGAAACACAGTAATAACATTATACCCTTAACGAGTCAATCACCCAGTTGCCACAGACACTCTAACATTTACTGCACAAGAGAAACACACAGCTGTTACACATAGACACACAGCTGTTACACATAGACACACAGCTGTTACACATAGACACACAGCTGTTACACATAGACACACAGCTGCTACCTAATGGCTTACACAAGGGTGGAGGGCGGAGTGTGAGTGGTCGAGCTGGTCGCTTATAACCTGATCAGTTATTTTTTTTTATAAGGCTCAAATTCCCCATTCACCTTGCTTCATTGTGGCGTAGCTTGCTTTTGAGCCTGAAATTCACCTGAATCTGCGAAGTTCACCTGAATTATGCTGGTTACCTGAGATTTTTTATTTACTTAACTAACGTAGGTCACCTAAATTATGTAAATTGTCAAGGTTATTTAGTTTTGTTATCTGGTGAGTTTTAGTCATCGGCTAATTAGCAGATTAAAACGTTGGGTCCAAAACATCCACAAACCTTTAACATGTCACCAGTGCATGATATTCGTGTGCTTATATCCTGTGTACTGACGTGGAGAGTACTGTATCAACATTTCTGTACTGTATATTTATGAGAGAGAGGTTTCCAAAGCATCAACTATCCATGCCACTATTTTTGTTCAGGCCAAACGTGTATGTTAAGTTCAGCTTTGAGTACAGATAGTATCGGCTACCTCGCCATGTATGTTGCTATGACCATCTGTCGTTCTTGATGATAATTGTATGATTACATTAAGGAAAAGATGAGTAAGAACAGATACGTGTAAATTCATTCAAAATGATCCTCTCCTTCCCCTTCTCCAGCGAATCAGGAAAAGTACTTCCTCACAAGTGTATTTCAAGTGTCTTGGTGATTTTGAATTTTGTAAAAGTCGTCTTCGTCACGCTCCAGGTGAACCCTTGTCCTACTTGAGTGGTCGAAGTGGGAAAATCTACGGAGAGTGTTGATTTACTTTCTTCTAAAACAAACTATAAATGCCTACAGTATTTTAACTTGTAAACAATAAAACTAGTAACCACAACGCATACCGGTGGTCAGTTGCAACATCGGGGCTGCCCTACAATAGTGGTAAGTTCCCAATATACAACACGCTCAGGGTCGACAGGGTTTGAGCTAAAGGGAGGGGGGAAATAAGGACCCTCGTCACTGTTCCACCTCCACCGAGTCGCCGCTCACTCTCCACGCCAGTTATTACCTGCCGCGTCCAGGTAAAGGTGGTTAGCGTGGAGAGCTCTACAACACTCCTGCCTCATAGACTGTGTTTTGTTTTGAACAGACACACACACACCTACTTAGGATTATAATTCGCCGTGTTTATCCCGTGTCCACTTCACAACACGACATTAACATTACAGTCTTGTGGATTTGGAGAGCTTGTTGTTCAGTGTGGATGAAGTGAAAAGCTTCTCGCAGTGCTGGAAGCGATGTGGTGACACCATACCTGGAAGCACACCTGTAGTTACGACGTTTCATGTGAGTTAAGCTTAATATTATCTCTTATGCAGTAACTGAATGGTGTGCAATTGTTCACCGACTCGTGTGTTCTCATTACTGCCCAAATGTTCGCCCACTCGTTAAATGAATACCCTCACCAGGTATTTACTCAGCATTTCCGCTACTTGATACATCTTTCCTGATATATTGAAGAGGTATCTTGTATATTCTGTATTATTGTTATAATGAATTGTTAAAGTAGTTGTATTATTAATTAATAAGTGCCCTGAAATACACCGTGCTCCGTTAACACTACATTGTGTATTGTTTTACCTATATTGTGCACAGTTTCCATAACGTCGTGCACCAGTTTAATGACTGTGCACCATTTTATCTACTATGTGCACCATTTTATTTACATTGTGCACCGGCGGTATGTTGTGCATTGTTATATCTACATTGGGGTGAAACTATGGGCAAGTTTCTTTACGCCATTTGCCTCTGTCTACCCAGCAGTAATTGGGGGCCTAGATGTTAACCGATTTGTGGATCGCATTCCGGGATAATGGTTAGCCAGTGCAGTTGGCGAGTTGTCCGTCTTCTCGGACTATTCCTTAACATTCGGTCATGCAGCTCGTTAACTTAGGGTGTGGTTGTTGTGTTGGCGACAGCTTCTACACCTTAAGCAAATTCACGCCTATAGGTGGCCCTAGGGCCGGCCATCCTCGTTACACGAGGGGCAACCATCATTTACATTGTGCACGGATTTAAGTATATAGTGTATGTATACGATTTTTCAACTTATTTGTACACTTATGTACATCGTGCACTGTTTTAATGTTTATCATACATATTAAAACACTCGTGGGCTTAGTTATACCATGAGCTTATTTCAAGTATCGTTATGTTGTTTTTGTTGGTTCGCTTCATGTTGTGTTTAACTAGAGACAGATGAGGGTTAGGTCAGGTCAGGTCTGGTCTTGTTAGAGAACATTCAAAACCTAACCTTAATTCATAAATAAATTGTGACTTTTTTTTCCTGTAGCTATTTCCTGTTACTGTCGTGTTACGTCTGTTCCTTCATGTTTACCTTAGATAGAGTAACGCTGACGTGTCTGGGTGTGGGAACAGAGGTGCACGTATACATGGGAGAAAGTTCAGGGTTAGTCTGGAAGAGATTATAATTACCAGGAAACATCTCATTATCCCAACCCCTCTCCTCCCTTTTCCACACACACACACACACACACACACACACCTGGAAAAGAAGCGGGTGGCGATAATAAAAGAAAGAGAGATGGCTACCATGTTTAGCGGTTGTGTTAGGTTACAGTAGGTTTAAGGGATCACGTGATAATCTTCAGCAGGTAATAACTTTCCGTGACATTTTCAGAGTAGACAGAGTATACAAATTTCTTGCTGGAATCAAAGTTTGCCTGTACAATATAATAATGGCATCGATACATGGATGCTGAGTTGCGTGGAAAAAATTCTTGGATTTACCGGTATAATTAACCAGCTGTGTTGAAGAATCCCGGTGGGGACAAGGTTTGATGTGATCAAGGGGTTGAATTTCCCCCTTTGTTTGTGGGTTGTGACAACAATGACTCTACAATTATAGTATGTTCTTTTATGGAGCTGAATTCCTATTTGTTTTCTCTGAAGAGCAATGTAAAGATGAACTCTAACCACATATATTTTTTCATAAATTAAACATGTTTACTGTTACCATTAATCCGGTGACGCACTAAAACGGAAGAGAAACTCGTCATTTTCTCGTTACGTTATTGAAAAAGAAATCAATGAGAAAGTTAGGCAGTTTGATAAGAACATAAGAAAATAAGGAGTCTGCAATTGGCCTGTGCATGGCAGCTCCTGTCAAGTGTTACAATCACTCTCTGTCGTCCATGAATCTATCTAGCCTCCTTTTAAAAATTTCCACATACTACAATGTTGCTAAGCTTGTTCCACTCATCTACCACCCTATTTGTGAACCAGTTTCTTCCTATCTCCCTCCTAAATCTAAACTTATCTAGCTTAAATCCGTTGCTACGAGTCCTATCCTGCTCGGATATTATAAGAACTTTATCTATATCTCCTTTATTGATTCCTTTCACCCATTTAAGCACTTCTATCATATCTCCCCGCACTTTTCGTCTTTCTGGGGAATGCAAGTTTAGTTTTTTAATCTACCTTAATAGGGGAGGTTTCTAAGTCCCGGAATCATTTTCGACATTCTTCACTGCACCGACTCCAGTGAATTGACTAGCCCAAGATATAATTGCAATATGACCTCCGCACTCTTATAACTTACACGTCTAGATATAAATCCTAATACTCTGTTTGCCTAATTTTGAAAATTAACGCACTTTTTTCTAGGCCGAAGGTCCGGGCTTGCGAGTACCCCTGAGTCTCTCTCACAAGTCGACTTCTCTAGGTTGATGTTGGACGCTATTGTGTCCAGACTTCAGCTTCTTCGCTCAAAAAAGGTACACTAGATTTCGCTCCGATAAACAACAAGCCAGGCAGGACCCGTGAAAGACAAACGGATTAACCTTGAGTTTCTTGCGGCACTTGGAGACGAAGGGCTCAAGATAAGTGGTGTGTGTAGTATGTGTTTATACGATGTAGTACTGTATGTGTTGACACGCTATGACACTAGAGCTGTTGTGATATGCAGTAAAACAAGTGTTCATGGATGCTGGCTTCTTATACGCTGTTACGAGTTGGGGATTTAGAATATAGTTATACGTCTACCCAGATCCCAACAGGTAACAACAATAAAAAAAAAACAAAGACAATCGGACTATAAAAGGGTAGACAAAGGATGCGAGTTTTCGTTGTATATAATAGAGTACCATAAATCCCTTAACAAAATATTCAGCTTATAAATTACCCTTAACCAAACTTAACCTAAACATTAACAGTATATACATATTAATACAACATAAACAATTTTGAAGCAAGTGGACGTGGGGGAGGTAATACAAGATACATGTACTTAAGTGAGGAGCTGAGATGGCTGACGAGTAAGGCTGAGTATTGTAGAAGACGGTAGGTAGTCACTGCACGTAGGTTTAGAGGATAGATGATCCTATGGTCACTTCCCAGAGCCAAGTGCTCTCTCCTCGAATTGGAGCTGACAAAGAAGACCGAGGAGGTGACGCAACAACCAGGATAGGGAGAAGGGAAACCTCGGAGTGGTAACTAAGACGAGTCATACTCGTGTCTCGTCCCTAGATGGCGTTGCTCGTGGTGGTGGGTAGGTAGATCAGGACAATAGATGGCGTGGTTCGTAGTGCGGGGTGGAGGGGTTCGTAACACCCCCCCTCCAAAGACCTCCGTAGCGCTGGCGCGAAGGAGGTGATCAACTGGTGCGTCTGGAGAGTAGCTGCTGCATTTCCACTGGAGCTCGGGATAAGGAGTCTGCAATCAGGTTATCGACCCCCTTTATGTGCCGGACTTGTAGATTATAGGGCTGGGTGAGGAGAGCCCAACGGAGGATTCGCTGGTTGGAGGTCTTGTTGGTTTGGATGAACGTCAGTGGGTTATGGTCGGTGAAGACTAGGGTTGTTTGTGGGCAAGACTGGAGGTAACATTCAAACTTCTTTATTGCCAACACCAGAGCCAAGGCCTCCTTCTCTATGGTCGAGTAGTTGGTCTGATGTTTTTTCAACTTGGCGGAGTAATATGCCACAGGGTGAAGAACATCAGTGGTTGGGTCGGGTTGTAGGAGCACAGCCCCCACTCCGACACCACTAGCGTCGATTTGCAGATGGAAGGGCGAGGTGTAGTCAGGGGGGTGGACTACAGGCTTGGAGGCAAGGAAGGCTTTGAGGCGGTGGAAAGACTGGTCGCACCTCTGGTTCCAGATGTAAGGGACCGCAGAACTGGTAAGGTCTGTGAGGGGTCCAGCCACGCTGGAGAAGTTGCTGCAGAACCGACGGTAGTAGCCGCACATCCCCAGGAAGCGCATGAGTTCCTTCCTCGTCCTTGGAGTGGGAAAGGACAAGATGGCTCTAACGTTTGCGTCCTTGGGTCTCACCATACCATGCCCAACGATGTGTCCCAGGTAAGTCACTGAGGCCCGGCCAAAAGCAGATTTAGCCAGGTTTATGGTGAATCCAGTCTCTTGCAGTCGTGCAAACAGTATCTCAAAACGCACCAGATGTTCGTCCCAGCTGTCCGACACCACCACCAGGTCATCCCGGAAGTAGGCAGACGTCCACCTAGGTCTGAATTAGGAAGTTGATGGCCCTCTGGAGATATGGCCGGAGCATTAGAAAAGCCAAACGCCATAACCAAATATTGAAAAAAGACCAAATGGAGTTATAAATGCCGAGATTATTTTGGCCCTATCCGTGAGTCCCACTTGATAATATCCTTTCAATAAGTCCACCGTACTGATAAATTTGGCACAGCCTATGCTGTCTATTATATCTTCAATCAAAGGTAAAGGGTAGGAGTCTGAGACAGTGACCTGGTTCACTTTACGATAATCGGTACAGAAACGAAAGGTGCCATCGGGTTTTGGAATGAAGAGGCAAGGTGAAGCCCAGGGGGAGGTACTAGGCTCAGCTAAGTTATGTTTTAACAAAAAATCTACCTCCTTTTTCATAAATCTCTTTTTTTTGTGGATTTAGTCGATAGGCTGATTGCCTAATGGGTTGTACATCATCCGAGATTAGCTTAATATCATGTTTAAGTATATTGCAAAACCCTGGGAGGTCTGATGTAACTTTAGGAAATGTTGATAATAACTTAGTGAGATCTTTTGCTTGAGATGGATTCAGAACAGAAAAATACTCATCCAAGTTGTTGAGTATGTGACTGTTAGTAGGGTTTTCTTTAGGTAGAGGGAAGTCTAAATTCTCCAATAGGTCCATGTCATCTGTCTCCGGCTCCATACAATAAAACCAGTAATACAAGGTTGACTTATAATACCTCTGGGATGTCTTCCTCTGACTGCCTGGAATGGTAAAGTTTCATGAGATTAATGTAGCCAGACAAGTTGGCCGAATCTTTTCTGCGATCAGGAG